TTAAAATGCAGTATGGTGCTCACGGGATGATGTCTTGATTATTTTTCCATCATTTTTGGAAATAACAGCTGTTTAATTGGTTTACTTATTTCTTTATTGTTTTCTTCGAGGGATTGCGGTTGGTTAGATCAGTATTGTCTGCACTTGTTACTTAAATATGATTTCAGGGTTGGATGTGCTTCCGCATCTCTATGTGACATCATGTCCATTATGGCTGTCCAGCCGATCTTCAAATATTTTTTCCTCTCTCATTCCATTTTTTCACTTCTTTTAATTTGCTGAATGACTCTTGATTGTTTAAATTTTGTTGCATCTTTTCGTACTTGCAATTGCTCCCTTGTAGCATATTACATTGCCTCCTTTTTCAAGATTTCCCCCTTTTTGGTTGTGGTTAACTGCTTTAAGCAGATATTTGCGCAAACTTATGAACTTTCTCCTACTGAGAGTGGTTTGGTTCTGAGTTCTTATTTCTGATTTCAGAGGAGGCTTCGGTGGGGGGAAGGGTCTTTCAGGTAAAAATGGAACTGTCAGCGGAAGGGCCTGTCCCAAAGGGCTATATGGTATCTTTTGTGAGGTGGGTTTGCTATTTATGATATTTCGTACTTAGAATATTTTGCATGAAGTAAAGAGATTTAGAAAATTAGAGTGGTTGTTATTGAGAACAAATGAATAATTATTCATTGGACCGTCACTATGGATTACATACCTAGAGGATATGGCAAAGTGGCTGATGCTCTGGCAAAGAGGAGCATTCAGAAAGAAGCCCGTTTTAGTTTTTGGATGTGGTCCCTGGTTATGTTAGGGTCCTAGTCATTAGATGCCAGCTCGGATATAATTCCCCTCACTGCATCGGTTAGTTTCTGCGTTTTATTCTCATCTGTACAGAGGGAAAAAACAAAGAAAAATAAGGTGGTTCAATGCCTTGAAATTTAGTTTGAAATGGTATGCTGCATTTTCGTATGTGTTGTTTAGCCACTTTAATCTGCAGTTCCTGTATATAGGTTGTTGAGAAGAGATATTAAGGGTCCATTCCATCTTTCAGTTGCTAGAGTCTTAACTATGCATATTATTGCAGGAATGCCCTGTTGGTACTTTCAAAAATGTCAGTGGATCTGATGAATCACTTTGTCGTGATTGCCCCCCTCATGAGCTTCCACATCGTGCCATATTTGTTCCTGTTCGAGGTATTAATTATTACTTTGCTTTCTCACTCCTGGAAAGAAAAAGAAAGGGTAAATTATTTATCAGAGTGGTTCTACATATCTGGAGTTGTTGTTCTGCCTTTGGTTAGTGGGGCTTGTGTGTATTACTTTTCCATTTTCTTGGATGATAAATGATTGCAGTCCCTGCACCACTTTTTGTTTGATTCTGTTGTTACTTTTTTGGAAGGTGGTGTGAGAGAGACTCCTTGCCCGTACAAGTGCACGTCTGACAGATATCACATGCCAAATTGTAACACAGCATTTGAAGAGTTGGTATACACTTTTGGTGGGCCTTGGGTTTTTAGTCTTCTTCTTGTAGGTCTCCTCATCCTGTTAGCTCTAGTTCTCAGTGTTGCGCGAATGAAATACATTGGTGGTGATGATATACCAGTCCATGCCCCTGCTCGAGATGAGACTCGAATAAACCACCATTCTTTCCCATTTCTGGAATCACTGAATGAGGTTTATTACCATCTTCCTTGTGAAATTCACAAATCTTACTGTTCTGATGGATGAGAAACCCATTTTGGAACTAGTGCAATGTTACGGTTCACTCTTACCATAATATTCCGTTTATCTTTCAGATCATTGAAACAAATAGAAGTGAGGAGTCTCAGAGTCACGTGCACAGGTTGTATTTCCAAGGCCCTAATACTTTTGGTGAACCATGGCATCTACCTCACTGTCCCCCGGAGCAAGTAAAAGATATTGTGTATGTAACTTTCATGTGAAAAATTCTAATTTCTTGGCAGTGCCGGATGTTTCTAGTTTACATTATGCATTTAATTTAAATTGGTTCTATAATTTATTATTATGTCGCTCATCATGCAGATTTGAAGATGCCTTCAATAGATTTGTGGATGAGATTAATAGTTTAGCTACTTATGACTGGTGGGAAGGGTCTATTTACAGCATCCTTTGCATCCTTGCATATCCTCTTGCGTGGTCTTGGCTTCAAAGACGTCGTAGAAAGAAACTACAACAACTTCGAGAATTTGTTCGGTCAGAGTATGATCATGCTTGTTTGCGTTCTTGCCGCTCCAGAGCACTTTATGAAGGGCTCAAGGTAGCTGCAACCCCTGATCTGCTGCTGGCTTATTTGGACTTCTTCCTTGGCGGGGATGAGAAAAGATCTGTTCTCCCTCCCCGTCTTCATCAAAGGTTTCCTATGTCTATAATTTTTGGGGGTGATGGAAGTTACATGGCACCTTTCTCTCTCAATAGCGATAATATTCTTACTAGCATCATGAGTCAGGTTTGCTCACTCAAAATTTAGCTTTTATCTGACTTGTTGATATTTGATTTTTTGTGTTTGATTTATTGGCTAATTTTTATATTTTTGCCTACCCTTAGTCTGTTCCGCCAACTATATGGTACCGCCTAGTGGCTGGTCTTAATGCTCAATTGCGCATTGTTTGCCGTGGACATCTAAAAGTAACTTTCAGGCATGTTATTAGCTGGCTAGATCTCTATGCTAATCCTACTTTGAGAACATATGGTGTGCGTGTTGATCTTGCATGGTTCCAGCCAACGGCTTCTGGATATTGCCAGTTTGGACTTGTGGCATATGCCACTGAGAATGAAAGCACATTATTGCATAATCATGATGATTCAACTGACAATCAGTCAAGGTAATCATAATTCCTATGTTTCTTCTTGATGGCAGATTTACAGTAATATTGACTTATTTTGCTTTGTTATGTGCAGTTTCCTTAGAGTTCGCCGAAACCCAGTGCATAACTTGACCAGTAACGACCAGCTGATAGTACCTAGAAGGAGTCTTGGTGGTATTCTAAATACCAAGAGCTTGAAGGCGCTCAAAGAGAAAATAACTATATATTATCCGTTCAGTTTTATATTCTATAATACAAAGCCTATTGGCCATCAGGTAGTAAATGCTTTCTACCATCCACTTTATTTTCTGTATCTCCGAAATTCATGTTGATGGCACTTACCTGATTCTCTCCTCCTTTCAGGATCTAGTTGGTCTGGTTATCTCTATACTGCTACTCGGAGATTTTATATTAGTATTGCTCACTTTGCTTCAGATGTACTCTCTATCCCTGATGAACTTCCTCTTAGTTTTGTTTGTCCTTCCGCTTGGCGTGCTATTTCCATTTCCATCTGGAATCAATGCTTTGTTTAGTCAAGGACCTAGAAGATCTGCAGGTCTTGCTCGTCTTTATGCCCTGTGGAATCTGACATCCTTAGTCAATGTTGTGAGTTTTCCTCAACCTCTTATCTTTCATCCTTCTGTTTGGGAAAGCAGTGGTTACTACCCATCTCCAGATATTTGTTTTAACCTTTACTTCTAATTGCAGGTAGTTGCCTTCTTTTGTGGATTGATTCATTATACAGCAAACTCAAATAAAATGCATTCCAACTTTAAATCTTGGAGTTTTAGCATGTAAGTGTCTTTCAACATCTGATATGGCATGTTACCGGTAAAATTGAATTGACATGAGGTTGAATATTTTCTGAAGTTGCTAATATTTGGCAAATATCTAAATGCACTTGCCCTTTACTGGGGAAATGCAGGGATGAAAGTGAATGGTGGATTCTTCCTTCTAGTCTTGCCCTGTGCAAAATCATCCAGTCCCGTCTTGTCAATCGCCATGTTGCTAACCAGGAAATTCAAGATTTGTCTTTGTACAGCGATGATCCTAATGTCTTCTGGCAGTCATAAATGTAATTTTTTTTCGTTCTTTAGTTCAATTTTTCCCTCTTCTTTTGCTCATTGAAAGAGTAGCAAGGAAATGAGAGGAGCCAGATGGTGTGCTGTGAGTATTTATTTATTTGTACATGTGTGATGAGGGCTTGTTGTATGAGCTAGTATTGTGATATCAAGTATAGTGTACAGGTTAGAGAGGGGTGAAATTAATGAGTTTAGTGTGTTAGGTCATAACCAAGTGAAGCATTCAGTTGAGATGTTTACAGGTTGGGCTATACAGGAGCGGAATTCTTTTTTTGGAGTTGTGGAGAGGTGTATCATATTTTTTTCTTCTGATTTATAATTATAGTTTTTTAATAGGCAAACAGTTGATTAAATGGGAAACGCGGGTTGGGTTTTGCAGCTTTTATCTCCTCGTTTTGCCCATAATATGAATCGGTGCCAGAATATTTGATCCGCTTGTCTCTTCAACGCAGCCATTCGTGATAACTAGCGCCCACTGCAAGTTTAGATTTTAATAGATGATAAAAAGTTAAACAACCATAGTAGCAACTTCATTCTGCAATACGGCAAAGCAAGCTTTCAAGTTACAAATGGACAGTTTAAATATTAATCGTTTACGTGTTATTGTTTAGCTTTTCCATTATTGTTTGTCAAGAAGTGATTTCCTTTATGTTATAACCAAGCTGGCTGGGCTCATGAACAAAAACGCAATGTCTTGATTTTCCTATTTCCTCGTTACTGTATTTTGAATTTTTTTTTGGCTGCATTTCAAATGCTTCAGCTTTGTAAGTACACAAATTTTCCCGCCATCGTGCTCTATTGTTGTTCCTGGGAATGTTATTTTGCAAGACATATTTTCCTGTGGCTCCACTTGTCGAGGTTTACTTCTGAAATTGTTCGGCCTTTTTAACTTTCGTCTTCTCTTTGTCTTTTTGTTAGACAGACTTTTCTCTAGTCAAATGCTACTACCTTATAATATTCTAAGAGCGAATAAAATAAATTTAAAATGCACAAGTTGGTGGACGTCATTACAACTTGCATAGAATACGTTTAATCGTTTCCCTCTAGGTGTACGAAATGAAGCGGAAGAAGTTTCGGGGATGTCGTGAGGTTTGGGAATTGCAGCTGAACACTTGACATATAGGGGAGGAAACTTGGTGGCTCTACTCGCCCAACTGATCAAAGTAGGAAGATTATCTGAACAGGTAATTTTGTTTTACTTTGTCGAATGTTATCAGAGGAATAATACGATGTTGATTTCCTTTGGTTTAGATTGATTAACCCCCGATAAATAACTTAGGAAGCTTCGTAAATATATCAACGTTCGAAAATTGATGGGCGGGAGATTTGGATTGTAAGAAGCTAGTTTGATAAGATTGGTTGATCTTACACACAAAGTTGTCTTCAATATCAAACGAAGCTAGTTAGGCGCATAAACAAAAAGTCACTTTCACCCAATTGCTGTGCTCGTCGTCGATCTTTTCGTTTCCTGATTGAGATGGAGAAAAGCAAGCAACTTTCACCTTTCTTCTTGCTAGTACCATTTGATTCAGGATACAATACAGCTGCTTGGTTATTGGCAACTTGTATTATCATCACACTTGATCACTTTTCATTCTAAATTTACTCTAACATGTTGATTTCTATTTTCCAGTGCAAGCAATAATTATGACACGCCGACCAAAAATATCTTCGATACACTATCAGTGGACTTATGATGTCTTCCTCAACTTTAGAGGTGAAAATACTCGTCATGGTTTTATAGGAACTTTGAATAAAGAGCTCAATCAAAAGGGAGTTCGCACCTTCTTTGATGATCAGGAAATAGGAATAGGGGAAGAAATTACACCGACGCTTCTCAGAGCAATCCAAGAATCTAGGATGGCTATTACTGTTTTTTCTGAGGAGTATGCTTCCTCAACATTTTGTCTAAAGGAATTAGTCCAAATCCATCAATGTATTAAGGAAAATGGTCGACTAGTTTGGCCAGTTTTTTATGATGTGGAGCCTTCTGTAGTAAGACATCAAAGAGGAAAATATGGAGAAGCACTAGTTACACATCAACAAAACTCAAAGGCTGATGAAGAAGAGGTTGAAAGTTGGAAGCGTGCACTACGTGAAGTAGCTAATCTTAAAGGCTCATCATATGATCCAAGGTGATTCACATTTCAAAACTTTTATTTTTCCCCCCCTCTGATTAAATGTTTTACCTAGCTAGTTTCTAAGGTTAGAATAGAAGAAAATTATTATAGTTATTACGCATGCATATGAAAAATGAATCGGATGGATTTAATCAGAATTAAGTGAAATTTATCTGTTTGCTTTTTCAGGAAAGATTATGAGCATAAACTCATTGAAGAGATTGTGAACCACATCTTTGAGATAATCAGAAGGGACCCTCTTGATGTTGCCGAATATCTAGTTGGTTTAAATTCTCGTATGCAAAAAATAAATGATCTACTGCAAATTGGGTTAAATGATGAGGTCATCATGATAGGAGTTTATGGAAATGGGGGAACGGGTAAAACAACAATCACACGTGCTGTGTATAATGCAATTGCTGATAATTTTGATCACTTGTGCTTTCTTGGAGATATCAAAGGGGGATCTGGAAAACATGGCCTAGAACAACAGCAAGCCAGAATGCTTTCAAAAATTTTAGGGCGGAAGATAGAAATTGAAGACATTGATGAAGGAGTTGAACTCATAAAACGAGCACTCAGAGATAAGAAAATTCTGTTGATTCTTGATAATGTAGATGAACGAATACAGTTACGAAAGTTAGCTGGGGCATGTGAATGGTTTGGTCGGGGGAGCAGGATCATTATAACAACAAGAGATTTACATTTACTTAAGAGTCATGGGATTGAAAGAAGATATGAAATGGAGGGATTAAATCATGAAGAGTCTCTTGAATTGTTAAGTTGGAATGCCTTTGGGAAGATGCAAGTTGATGATCCAAGGTACACAGAAGTTGTGAATGAGGTGATAAGTTATGCCAGTGGTCTTCCCTTGGCCCTTGAAATATTGGGCTCTGATTTGTATGGTAAGAATGTAAGTGAGTGGAAATCTATGTTGGATGGATGTAAAAGCATCCCTCATGGTAAGATTCAACAAATATTAGAAGTAAGCTATAAAAGCTTACAACAACTTGAAAAAGAAGCTTTTCTTGATATTGCTTGCTTCTACAAAGGTCGTGAATTGGAATATGTCAAAAAGATGGTGGCAATTGCTCATGATTTTGACCCAGATTATCATATTGGAGTGTTGGAAGACAAATGCCTTATAAAGATTTATGGGGCCTGTATTGGAATGCACGATCTAGTACAAGATATGGGGAGAGACATCGTTCGTCTACAATCACCAAAAGATCCAGGAAAACGCAGTAGGCTATGGTCAAATAAAGATATCTTGCGTGTTTTGGAGAGAAATGAGGTAAGTCTGGCACTAATTGAAATTATCTACTTTTCTTATTACAATTAATGAGATTTATATTTATTTGTTTTTAATGTAGAAAGACAATACTTAGAATTCAAAACAAGACCAGGCCATATGCATGAAATTTTAATAAGATTAACCCAAAGCTTGACCTGATCAATTTCTAAAGTTATTTTGTTGTGCTTATTATGTCGTGGTTTTAATTTTGAATAAGGATTTATCGATGTTTATATGGTATTTAATATTCTCAATATTCGTGTTATAGGGATAAGAAATTATACGGATTTGTGTTATATATTTACATGCTATCAACTATGCGATGAAACCTAACCTTACTGAAATTACCATGAAAAATTATTCCAAAAATATTCTTTTAAAATATGACAATTGGTCTAAATAAGAGAAACCAGAAAAATAAATAAAAATTAAAATGACATGCAGCTAATAATTATGCATGAGTTTTTGTTATAGAATTCGTTTTCTGGTTCTGTAATATTGCATCATTTTTCATTATGACTACTTTTCTATGATGATAGAAAATTTTCGCTTTTATTTATAGCTTATAAGGGTGAAACTGAATCGAAGTGAGGATCATAATATAGGACAGTCTATTAGAATCTATAGAGTAAAAATTATATATTTATGATATTTTTGTCCAGTCAAATTGAAAACAATTATTTTATTAATTTTGTAATCCAAACTATCAACGCAATTAAAATTTTCAAAACTACTTGCCTTAATTTAATTGGATAAACTAAATAAGGTGAACTACCTAAGTTTTTTCCTAAAATAAATTGTGACAGAGAAGCTTAACTTTGGTAATTTAAATTTTTGAGAAAGCCCCCAAATATCTTTTAACAATTTTAAGGTGTGAAATGATTTGGATATCCTCTATCTTCTCGGTCTTAGCATTTGTTCATACCTGCTTGTTAGTGGCGCAATAGGGTGGTTGCCCCTTCCATCAATTTTAAAGTACTGCATGCATATAATTCATCTCAATGATTTTTATATATATATGCAAAAAGAATATTATTTTTTATATATAAAAAAGAATTCAGAATTATTGCATGGCTCAATCATCAATTTGCATTGTTTGCTATCTGGTTCGTCGTTTTGATTTTGATTTCGAATTTTTTTCCCCCCATCATGTAACTATAGCATGGAAACCCTTAACACTTCTGGAGCTTCGAATATTTAATTTTTTTTCTATGTACTATTATAGATATATGAACTGGTAATGTTTTGTTATTTTCATTTATTTTTGGTTTAAAAGGGCACAGATGAAGTTATTATCATAATTCAACTTGAAAGGTCCGAATGCATAGAAGTAAAATGGAATGGAAGAGCCTTCAAGAGTATGAACAATCTCAAAATTCTTATTCTTGACGATACAAAATTTTCACAAGGTCCCAAATATCTTCCCAATAGTTTAGCAGTATTGAGATGGCCAGGATACCCTTCATCAAGTTTGCCACGTGGTTTTCGTGCAAAGGATCTTGTTGAATTCAATGTGAGAGATAGTTGTTTCAATTCAACGGAAATCAGTAAGGCAAGTGAAGCACCCCTAATATTATGTGTATTTATTTGGTTGGCTAGCTTGTATTTCATCATTTGTTTAATTAGACTTTATATATGGTTTGGGTTATCGCAGATAACGCAGAATATGAAAATGAGTGTTTTGAACTTTGAAGGGTGCGAGTATATCATTCACATACCTGATTTATCAGGCCTCTCAAGTTTAAAGGAGTTACGGCTTCGTAATTGCAAAAATCTGATTGAAATTGATAATTCGGTTGGGCAATTAGCAAAACTTGGAACTTTGGATGTACGTAACTGTGCGCAGCTTACGACTTTTCCAAGTGCATTGAATACACCCTCTCTTTATTATCTGAATATGAAGATGTGCTCAAGTTTGAATTGCTTTCCAGAAATAGCAACTCGTGAAATGAAAATAGAAGTGTTGAATTTGGTTGGAACTGGTATAAATCAATTGCCTCCATCAGTTGAAAATCTTACTCAACTTGTAGAGATAACACATGTTAGAGATGACACTACGGGCAAGGGAATTAGGTCAATGAAGCTACCAAGTAGCACTTTTTTGTTGCCAGAACTTGAGAAGATAGATGTTGAAGGATGCGAAGAGTTGCTTATGGAAGTGGAGTCAATGATATGTCCAAACATAGGACATCTTGAACTACAAAGATGTAATATATCCAATGAGAGCCTTCAAATTTATCTTACTTCATTCCCCAATCTTTGGTTTTTGGACTTGAGCGGCAATGATTTCACAATTTTGCCCGCATGCATAGAACATTGTCAAAATTTGGGAATAATTAAGCTCCGTCAATGCAAGCATCTAATAGAAGTGGAAAAGGTTCCGCCTAGCATAACATATTTGATGGCAGAAGATTGTGTATCAATGAGTTCAGAGTCCAAAAAGTTATTATTGAGTAAGGTCAATTTCTGTCTCCACTTTTCTGATATTCACACCCAAAAAGTTCTACATATATATATTTATATATATTTATATGACTTCATTTCTTTTGACTTGCAGGAGTTACTTGCATCTGTAGTGCCCATCAACATTAAAGTTGAAGGTTTGTATGGCTACCCTTCTGCAGACTATTTTTGTGTGCCAGGGGGAAGCATCCCGGAATGGTTCGATCACTGTAACAAAGGACGGTCCATTTCTTTTTGGTTTCGTGACCACCAACTCCCATCTCTCTGTGTTTGTGCTATTGCTCAACAAATGGAGTATCATGAATCGATCCTAACAAAAGTGTTCATAAATGATGAAATGGCGTATGGATATCACCTGCCGCTACCGACTGCGGGATATGATGTGGATCATATAATTATGCATTATATATGGAATGTCGATGTGGATAAAGAAATTAAAGAAAATCAATGGAATCATGTAAAGATTTGTCCGCTTTCAGGGCTTGGAGATGCCGTAAAAGAGAGCGGAATTTATGTTCTTAGAGATGAATGGACCAATATGAAAAATGTTCGATTCTCCGATCCTTTCCAAAGTCTGGATTTTTCAAGGAGTGGCCGAGGTAAAGTGTGATCACCATTCTTTTTTCATTGATGCAATTTAATCAGATGGATGCAAATTCTGAAAATTTCAATAGAATCATTACGCACACATGTATGAATATATATGAATGAACGAATATTCTTTGTGCGCCTGTTAATTCCTTTAACATTTCTCTTTTTTAATAATAATAGTAACAGTAAATATCTTTTCTCTTTTCACTTGTAGATGACATAGCAAGTTCATGATTTTTGGATTTGTTTAACATCATCAAGCTAAGCCACATAGCATTTCACTTGTAGCTAGTGAACTATGTTTCAGTTTGTTACTACCGTGTTTTTATGTTCAGATTTCAATTGCGATTTAGATGCCAAAAAAAAAAAAGGCAAGGAAACTGTCTGATAAAGGAGCATGAAAACAATGTAAACTCAAACACATTCTCCCAATGCTAATCATCTTCATGACTGTATCATCCATGCATGCGTATATGTGTGAGTAGCATCAATAGTGTATAAGATTTTAGGGATTGTTATTATTATTATAACTTAGGCATGAGGGATATGAAATAAAATTAACAATATGATGCTTACAAAGTGCTCTACTACTTACTAAGGTACTTTGCATTAACTAATGGCTACTTTAATATTATACTGCAGGATGTGCTACAGAAGGTGACATTGCTGCAAATAACTCCTTCTTCCCTTCCCAAAGTGAGCAGCAACATACACACTCACATACTGTTAGGGACATTGACTCGTTAAGAATACTATCTGTACAGTGTAGGAGAATTATATTTCCCATCACAATTCATAAGTATAGTGGGATGATGGGTTCTCAATTAGGATATGATTTCTATATTACTAAGCAAGATTATTTATATATTACTGAGCAAGATGTCATGAAATTCCTAAGCATGCAAGAGCTGTCCATAACCATTATCCAACTCTTTGTGAGGTATGTAACTTTGTTCTCCTTTCTAGACCAAACGTACGTATGTATTTAGCTCTCTCAGACAACTCACATATTGGCATGCAAGTTGATAGGTTTTGCTGCGAACTTTGCTTCTTTAGAGGAATTGTGGATAGATTTGGATTTTTGTGTCCAAATGCTATTCAAGGTGTAGGGCATACACGAGAAGACAAGATATCTTACATAGGAAGTACTATCAAGGAAGGCAATAATCAATGTTGGCTTGCACCAATTCGTGAAGGGTAAGAAGTTTTCACCATTAATATGTAAATAATCGATTACAACAAACTTTCACGTAAACAATATGATATTCTAATCATTAACTAATATATTATAGGAACCATTGGACATTATGTGCTGTTTGCCCAGGCTCGAATATCATTCATTGGTTTGATTCACTCGGAGGCAAACAAAGCGATGATATTGAGAAAGTATTCACCGAGTAAGTATCTGTTTTTGTAAAACTTTGGTTTGCAACATTATAAATCAATGATCTAATTTATGTAATATTTAATAATAGAGCCCTTGTGACGTACCAAATCACTGGAGGAGAGAACATAAAATGGCTATACCCAAAGGTAAGTAGCTAGTTTGAACCTTAATGCAAGTAGTTTAAATGGTTATGTCATTCCCATGTTTTTTAAATTCCAGCTACTCTTATTTTTTGATTTGTAGTATCGTCGTCAACTTGAAGATAAAGAAGGTGGATATTACATCATGAGATATATGTATGACATCATCGATCTTAACGAAGTTGACTCATTAGACATGGTAATTATATATTCCCCAAAACCTAGTCCTCTTGTGGTAACTGTTTATGAGCCATTAATGTTATTATGTGTTTTCAAACTTGTAGCATTTCAATAATCCACAATGTTACTCCCAAGAAGACATCAGCTTTATTCGTAACAGGTGGTCAGCCTATTTTTTGGCGTCTCCGTGGCCGCGGCGGTGGCCGCAGCGGTGGCGGTGGCCGTGGTGGCAGTAGTGGCGGTGACAGATGTTAAATAAGACGGGAGTTTTGAAGAGGCTATTACTTCGACATACTTGATTAGAAGACATTAATTAGTAAATAATGCATACTAGAGTGAGTGACATTTGCATTTTAAAACATGACCATGTGTGAGAGTTGGTTTTAAATGATAGTTTGTGCTACCTCTGGTCCTAATTATAAGGTTTTATTTGTGGACTATAAACAAAGTTTTGTAATTAGAATCAGAGGTAGTATATCTCTGGCCAAAATAAATAAATAAATAAATGATAGTTTATATATCATTGATGTTGTAATAGTGTGAGATATGGCTTGAGCTCAAATGCATTTCATATGGAGAAAAAATTTTCCGTGGAAATTTTTGTTTTAAAGTTAATAGTCTTTGTTGTAATTGTATAAGATATGGTCTTATGTTTTGGGGAAATCATTTAGTTTGCACAAGGACATAGCCTCCTATTATATTTTCCAATCCCTAATATCTCTATATTTGTATATGGTCAGGAAGGGATGCTGTCTATTTCGTTACTCTTCTCATTTTGAGTTCTATGTTTCTACTCTGGAGAAAATTTATGTACTTCGCTTTATATACTTAACGTGCCATTGTCAATTAAATGTAAGACATGAGAATTTTGCATATATCACTTATCCTAAAACAATCTCTTATTATTAGTATCGTTAATGTTTTAATATGGAAGTTTTTTTTCTTTTATTGTTTTGGTTAGTCATATCATCAGGTTTACTGTCTTTTGTGTCTGAACATTTTGCCTTCTTTTGTAGATATATTTGTCTTATTTGTAACTTATTTTTATTCAAACTTTGCATTATATTTATATTTTCTTTTATTGTCATCTTATGTTGTTAATAGTATTTTCTACAAAGGAAAATACAATTTCTTTTTTCATTTTCTTATAATTAAAATATTCTTACTGTTTTAATTATTTTAATGTGTTCAAACCATAATTTAAATATTTCTGTTAATTAATACTGATATTTTCTACTTTAACAAAAGTCTAATGATATTTAATACTTCTCCGGTTTTTAATATAAGACATATTTAACCAATTTAATTAGATTGAAGAAGTTAGGTAAGTTAGGTAATTATAAGAAAAGTAACACATTTTTCCTAAAACACCATAATCATCTTTCTTAATACCCATCTTCCTCTTCTACTTGATTATGATTGAGAGAGTATTCATAGGGGTAATTTAGAGAAAATTGATAAATATGATAAATGAGTCTTATATTTAAGACCAAAATCAACTCAAGAATTGGATCCTATATTAAGGGCCGGAGGAGTATTACCTCATATTCTAAATAAAAAATTTACTTTATCGTGTAATCTATTTTAATTTATAGGGTTAATATAAATTTTGATCCCTTAAATTTAGACTCAATTTGACATTGGTTCTTGAAATTTAAAATGGATGGTATTGGTCTTTCAAATTATGTTCGTTTCAAACCATTAGTCCTTGATATCTTAACACTATTAATTCTTCTAACATGACATTAACACCGTTAACCAATGAGTTAGACATATATAAGTGGCATATGACGTGGACATGAATTAATGAGTTGGCATATAGGTGGCATATGATTAAAAAAAAAATAATAATACAATCAGATGCAAAACGCAAGGGACAACAGACATGACGACAGACACATGGACGCGGGGGGGGTTAAGAGGAAAGGGTTGGGTCAAAAGGCCCCACTTGTTGCCGGAAACGATCTCCGAATTGCTCAAGTTTTCTGTCATTATTCGAGCTGATCGCATTGCTCGAAATTTTATTTTATGTTTTACATATGGTGCTCTGACATCATTGGGGAGGTCGAGGTGCCAAAAATAAGTCTCCTTTAACAGCACACATGCTGGAAAGTGAAGAGTGTCTTTACGGAGGAGGAAAAAAGGAGGTGGCGCGGCAACCAAACCAGAGCTATCAAAATGCAGCATTTGGAAAAGCAGCAGCAAAATTTCCATATAGATTCATATTTGGAAATGAGTGACTGGTTAAAGTAGATTCGTAAATGATTGAGAGCCTAATCCGGAAATGATCTTAAGCCTCTGGGACCAGCTTTCTCAATGCTTTGCTTTGACAAACAAGACAAGCGATTCTCTTGCATTTTGTTGACAACCTTGAACTGAAAATTTTAGTTGATTCAAGATAGTTCTCACCTATCGTGATTGCAACCCACATTTCTTTTATTATGCTACCTATTTGAGTTTTGTTTTTGCAGTGATTGAGAATATTTGAGCATCTTCCAGGACCTCATGCTTGAAACTGCAAACTTAAAAATAGAAACTTCTTTATGCTTATGCTACATAAAAATCCCTTGGCATTGCTTAAGCGACATGCAAGTCCTCCTCGACGTCATATGTTCTTGTGTTGAGTGTTGAAAAAGGTTGCACATTTTATTTTCGCAGTAGTGATGTTACAGTGAGAATAATTAAATACTACCTCGGGTCGTTAATACTATTTTCGGTTCTAATTATAAGAGTTAGTTGATTAATTTGAGAAGATTGAGAAAAGAAGTTAAGTTAGTTATTTGTCATAAATAGGTGTTGTCTTTTTTAAAATATCTTTGTTAATCATGTGTATTGGCTAGAACTAGGACTATCTTGGAAAAAATACATAAATATTAGAAACAAAGTGAATTTAGGTTTTATATTTAGAATCAAAATAAAAGTCAAACGAGATCCTATATTAAGGACCGGAGGTAGTATAAGACTTTGTTTGACTTTTATTTTGGTTCTAATTATAAAACTTTAATCCACTTTATCTCTCATATTTATACATTCTTCCTAGAATAGTTCCTTTAATAATAGTAGTTCTAGCTAATAAATTTGATTAGCAAGGATATTTTAAGAAAGACAACACTTGTTTATTACAAAAAAACTAACTTCACTTATTTTCTTAATCTCCTTAAATTAGTCAGCTAGCTCTTATAAGTAGGATGAAAGCTAATATGTTGTTTCGTGTTTTAAAATCCAATAGAGTAACTTCACTGAGTTTTGAAGGCCTGATCATTAGTGTTGTCAATAAAATTTGCGTTGCGAGTTCCTTAGACGACAACCAGGCATATTACTTGGATTTCAATCAGCGCATTTATATTGCATAACAAATTAAAAGTGAATAAGGGAAGAAAATGCACAGGATCATGTATATATAAATTTTACTCCTTTTTCATATTTACATGGTAAATTAATCTTCTCTTGATGGTCGGGATAAATGAATAGATCCGTATGAAAATTGAATCCAGCCCACCACTGTGCTCTGTTTTGTTCCTCACGAACAGAGCAACCAACAAACTTGGAAAAGAGATGTAAATGGCAAAGCCCGGTAAATTCCCAGCTTCACGTTTTTACGGTGGTATCAGGAGACACTAGAAGGCCATAATTGCATTCGGTCTTTATGAATAGAAGTTATTTTGTCATAATCGTGAGTGCTTCAGCTTTGTTCATACTGGGTTATGTTTGGCAAGCATAGCTCTCCCCCCCGACCTCTCTGTCGTCCCCTGCGTTTTGCATCTGATTGTTTTTTTTTTTTCGCGGTCCATATCCACGTCATATGCTACCTTATCAGTTCATGTCCAGGTAATATGCCACTTATATGTTCAACTCATAAGGTAACGGTGTTAATGTCATGTCAGTAGAATTCAACGGTGCCAAGATGTTAGGGACCAACGGTTTGAAATGGACATAATTTGAGGAACCAATACTATACGTTTTAAATTTTAGGGACCAATACCAAATTACATCCAAATTTAAGAGACCAAAATTTATATTAATCCTAATTTATATTACAAAGTAAATTTTATATTTTAGACCAGAGGTATATTAAATAATATGTTTGTCTTGTTTTTGCGTGGGAGAATTATTTTCCAGTTTTACATAAGTAAGTCAATTACTATAAAGTTCCATGAGTTGTTAATATTGATTTACTGGCTTTTTTAAAAAAAATTTGAATTTTAATCCTAGTCTTTTTCAAATTATCAACACATAATAACATATATAAAGAGATGTCAACACATTTTTGTTAAATTAATAGGTATATGGTTTCACTTGTAATTTTAAAATTTTTGAAAAATTATAGTACCAATGTAACATATAAGAGCTCATTGAAGCTTTAATTTAATTTTAAATATAAGACCATAGTTCATTTTATCTCTCATATTTTTTTTTAAAAGTAGTTCTCATAGTGATTACACATGTTAAAGGTTTTCATTCTAATTCTAATACATATCATCAATAAATGTATTTTAATATAGACAACATTAATTTATGAAAAATAACTAATTTAACTAATTTTTTAATAATAATAAATTAGTTCTTTAACTCTTATATTAATTAGGATCAGCGCATTATATAGCTAGGTATAATTTATTACTATTGATAGCTCTCATATTATAAATTTATTGGGTATTTTAAAAAAGGTAAAACTAATTTATGACAAATAACTAATTTAATTAATTTTTTTAATAATTACCTATCTAAATTAGTTATCCAACTTCTATATTAATTAAAATCAACGCATTGTATAACTAGGTATAATCTATTACTATTGATAGCCCTCACATTATAAAATTATTTGTGATGCGTGTTAAAATGAAAGGAAATTCTTAGGTAGTCCAGAGTACCACGTCATGTAAACCCTAGGAAATCAAATTTCTCCCTTTCAGATCTGCTTCATCCTAAATGGCATACATTCTCTTTCCAACTCACAGCACATTTGGTGGATGGAAAATGCAACTATGCAAGGCAAAAGCGATTCGCAAAAGCCTACTCTTTGCCGACAGAAACTGGTCCTCATCAACATATTCTCTCACCAGTCCATCCACGACCGATGGCATGGCACCATGTTCGTCTACAAGTTCTAACTTTGCACCTTTAGGAGCCCTTCTTGCACGCGTCTTCAACCTTGAGACCCACCTCGATTTCCCTTGGCGGCTCGGCCACTGGTGGACCTGAGTATGACAGGAAGATCGATTTCATGCCTCGATAAGTCACCAGCAAGAGCCCTGGCTC